ATGATTCTGTCATCTGAATAGAAATGAGAAATAAGACTTTGTTAATGACCTCAGGAAAGATGAACTGACTACTGTTGTATTAAAAATCAGTGTGTATGCATCTCACCATAGTTTGCAGTAAACATCTACAAATTATATCTGTTTTCATGAAGTGGTCCTATGATGTATGTATTCTTTCTGCTGATGAGGCAAAACTAAGTCTTTCAGAAGTGAAATATCTTATACATGGTCACTCTGTTACTAATTTGATTCTTCCTTTAGATCCAGTAAAATGTGATTTTAAAGAGATAACTTTGTGCAAAGAGAAAAGACTTTCTATATGTCATAAAAATTTTCTATAATGGATTACCTAAGTGTTAATATAGGGGACATAAATAAGTAACATCACAAAGATTTGGAAAAATTTAAGGATAATGGCTTGACAATTTTATATTAAAGGGAAATAATATTCTGAGGAGAAATAATTCTAATGATATTATTACTGGTATTAAGGAGGTCACGGAAACTTTCATAATATACAATGAATGTTGCTTCCTGAATTGAATGCAGAATAGGGTCTTGGATGGCCCTTCTGGACAAGGTGATTATTACTTTCACAGTTAACCCCACTGACCAAGTATAGATTCCAGTGGATGCTGACCAAAGAAAATGATTTCTCCCTGAATTTTCACAAGGACGTAGTTCACAGCTTTTATCTTCCACTCCGAGGGAACAGAGGATGTACCATGAGAGTTTCCCTACAGTGACCCTGACCAATATCAATGACTGTTTCTAGATCCCACCATCTACTCAAGGGGGATACACACTGCCTCATCCTAAGTTCCCTGCTTCCACAGGGTGATTCAGGTAAATACTTGGAATCAGACCAGGCCAGGCCAGCAGTGACTGCCCTGAGTAACTCAGCAGAGATAAGGACAGTGCAGAGAACTCTAGAAAATGTAGAGAAAACGGTACCTGGCTTGGGGGAAGCAGCAGGCAGAAGCCCAAGCCACAGCCTTGCAGATGAGGTTGTAACCAATCAGAAAAAGGATTTTAAGCTGACACATGTTGCCAGTTAAAAAGTCTGTGTGAAGAGGCCTGCAAGAACAGGGTAATCCCCAGGTCTGAGGCTGCCTTCACTGCAGGGCCTGGAAAAGGGCGGAGGGAACTTCCTCCTTAGGACAGGAGGGAGGGGAAGGGTCAGAAGCCTCTGTTTATTCCTAGAGACCCTGCGGTGGGCCTGAGGGAACTGAGACACCTTCGGAATCCCTCTCTGACTGTTCTTTGTTGCTCCACAACCCAGTTACTGGTCTGAGCTTGATGGTCCTATTTTATGTTTTCATCCTACCCTAGAACCCTCCTTATTACCCTGGTCCTGAGTGCACCACAGCAGGTGGAAGCCCAGTGACAGATTTCCTAGTCTCAGGGGCCCTAATTCAGAATATTGAACTAACTCATTGCCTTCATGTGCAACTAAGGGAAACTTCTTGTCATTGCCTCTTCCCTATTTCTTTTAGGCTGGTAAACTCTTTATATTCTGCTTTTAGATACTCTCCTCTCTTCTGAAAGAAGAACCTAAAATTCAGGAAAGACAGAGAAAAAGAGAGAAATTAGAGGGAGAGACACTTATTTTCTTGTTCATTGATATATGCCAGACACTGTTCTATTTGCTCTATAACCATTTTTTTTTCTAATTGCTCTATAACCATTTTATACTCTCCCTAGACATGGGCAAGACAAGTCTGATAAATAAGATGTTTATTTAATAAAGCACATTGATACTTCTGCTATTGAGATTTGATTCTTAGGGCTGGCATGGCTCTCTAAACATCTGCTCCCTCATCAACAGAATTCAAGCCCCAGGAAATGCTTCTTCACAATTTTGCTCTCTGTCCTCAAAACTGAAGTTGACAATATCTTAATGCTTTAAATGTTAGTGGACTGTGCCTTTGAGCAAACAGATTGTTCAGGAAGGATTTGAGTGGCTGAAGATATTTTAAGAGAAAAGTCAAATTAATTTTCCAAATACTTCGACTCAAAAAGCATAAATGCCATAGATTATCTTTTTTTTCTTTTTATAAGTGTGTTAGTTGCTCAGTCGTGTCTGACTCTTTGAGACCTTATGGACTGACTGTAGCCCATCAGGCTCTTCTGTTCATAGAATTCTCCAGGCAAGAATACTGGAGTGGGTAGCCATTCCTTTCTCCAGGGGATCTTCCCGACCCAGGGATCGAACTCGGGGTTTCTGCATTGCAGGTGGATTCTTTACCATCCGAGCTACCAGGGAAGCCCTAGATTCTTATGTAATGAAAAATCACTTGCCAGCAGGGCTGGCTGTCAATTTTCAAAAGTTTTGGCCATTCCCCATGGCATGCAGGATCCTAGTTCCTCAGAGATTGAGCCCACACTTTCTGCAGTACAGGGGAGAGTTTTAATCACTGAACTGCCAGGGAGGTTCTGATTGTCAATTTTTTTTGCTTGTTTTCCTGTTCCACATATTAACCTGATATTGCCAACAGTTACACAAGGCAGCTGAGGAACATTCTGTAGTATTAAACATGTCATATTACCCTTAAATTTGTATATATGAAGGTCTAGATATAAAATGCATGAAACATAATTCACATTTTATAGAGAAATCTTAAGCAAAAAGGTTCAGTATTTTGTTGACTCTCATAAAGCACATCAATGGTAGAACTGCAGCTCAAAACCATTTCCTTCAAGAACTCTGTTCTTCCCACTCACAACTTAAGGATCTTCAGGGTCTCTAAGACAATAAAAGTAAACATCTCTGTGTCAATAATTTTATTCTCTGAAATATGATCCCCGCTTATTTTCCCTTGTGGCTCAAACAGCAAAGAATAATCCTCTTGCAATGCAGGAGAACTGGGTTTGATTCCTGGGTCATGAAGATCCCCTGGAGAAGGGAATGGGAAACCACTTCGGTATTCTTGCCTGGAGAATTCCATAGACAGAGGATACTGGTGGGCTACAGTCCATGGGGTTGCAAAGAGTGGGACATGACTCATCAACTAACACTTTCACTTTTATTTTCCGTTACCCCAAATTCCAAGAACAATAGGTTTTAAATAAATATCACAGAAACATCCACTCTTGAATAATTTTTTTTTCATCCTTTAAACTCCTAAGGCATTCAGTATTCAGATATTTTATAACTGAGAGAACATTTTCATCTCAATCCAGGGTAATTTGATTAGGACACAGTGCCAGGCACTAGATTAAGAACCTTCAAAAAAAAGATGTCTACCCAGAAACAGATGAAGTTTTTCAGCTCCACTCCTGATTGGTCCCTTTTCTAGTGACTCTCCAATCATGCCATACATGGAAGCTCTCATAGGCTTTTATTCTGTGAAGTGGGCTAACCAGATCCACTGGGTTTGAGCTGTGTTGACTACCATTACTTCTTCCTTTGTTCTCAATTATGTGTGGGATGGTGGCTCTGGAGATTCCCAGAGGCCTTTGGACAGCAGCTGTGATGGTGACACTGGTGGTGCTGAGCATTCCAGGGACTGAGGGCGGAGAATCTCCACGTAAGTGCAGGGCAGCTGCTCCCCGGAGCCACCACTCTGGGGAGCAGGCTCTGAGGGACCCTTGGGCTGGGGAGTGATCTCAGGGTACTGTCTTTCATCACACACTTCCTCCCTTTGGGAATGAGGGCCATGTTACATTCTCATTTCCACCCTCTAAGGACAGTGAAGTCGCTCAGTCGTGTCCGACTCTTTATGACCCCATGGACTGTAGCCTACCAGGATCCTCAGTCCATGGGATTTTCCAGGCAAGAATACTGGAGTGGATTGCCATTTCCTTCTCCAGGGGATCATCCCGACCCAGGGATTGAACCCGGGTCTCCTGCATTGTAGGCAGACGCTTTACCGTCAGCTACCAGAGAAGCATGAGGACAATTCCCCTCCCACAGGTTTAACCCTGGGAATGTTGTAAAGGGGAGGAGGAGACAGAGTGTATCCACTACAAGTGCCAGGACAAAGTGAACATGGGTATTTTTTTTTTAAAGATGTGAATTTCTCCAAAGAAGGCACTGCAGAATCTGTCATTTCAGGGTCCTCCAAGACCTTACCTGGACCTACTACTATGGGTTGGGGATGTGTAGGGCAGCCATGGTCTCTGCAGGCTCAGCATTTGAAGGGAAGACTGTATATTCCTGACTCTCAGTAGAGGGTTTGTGGAAGCAAACATTTATTTCTTGAGTGGAGTTGCCTGGGTGACCACAGACAGAATTTTAATCTCAGGTTTCACTGATTTCTGGTCAATTGGTGACTTGAGTGATATTCAGAAACTTGAGGATGGACAGGATTTAGGAAAAAGGAGAACATAAAAAGAGAAATATATATATATATATATATATATGATTACATATTAGCTCTAATCTAATTTGAAAGTCCATACTCTTTCTGTGAATAAACTGTCCTTTTTAGGACTGGAGGGTTGCTGGTCCCTTCAAACCACACAGGAGTCGGGTGCGGGTGGCAGAAACTCAAGAGTAAGCCAAGGCGTTGTAAGGACACTTTGCTGGGGACTAAGAGAATACACCTGTCAGGAGGACAAGCTTAATTCTACAGGTCCTTTGTCATCCCTGAACTCTCGTGCTCTCGTTTTTCTCCGAGGTTCCCAGGAGTTCAGGGTAAAATGGGATTTCATGTGAGAATCTTTAAGTACAGAGATGGATGCAAAATCAACCTGCCGTCCCGTTTACTTGGTTCTGAGCCTCTAGGATCACAGATCCTAGGGCTCCCTCAGCGACAGGCCTCCTCACATCCTGGGAGCCCTCAGAGGGGCGAGAAGCCTGGGGAAGGGCCGCTGGAGAGCCCGGGTTCGCAGCAGAAGGCACAGGGCCGGGCTGGAGCGGAACCTGGGGTTGAGCGGCGGGTTTCAGGTTTACGGACGCAGCTGGCGGCGGCCAGCAAGTCCCCATCTGGCCGAGCGGCCGCCGCGTGGGGCTGTGGGGCTGAGGCCTGACCAAGCGGCTGTCTGTCTCCCCGCAGAGGATTTCGTGTACCAGTTTAAGGGCCTGTGTTACTTCACCAACGGGACGGAGCGGGTGCGGCTCGTGACCAGACACATCTACAACCAGGAAGAGTACTTGCGGTTCGACAGCGACGTGGGCGAGTACCGGGCAGTGACCCCGCTGGGGCGGCGGCAGGCCGAGTACTTCAACAGCCAGGAGGGCAAACTGGAGCGGGTGCGGGCCGAGGCGGACACGGTGTGCAGACACAATTACCAGGTGGAGCTCACCACATCCTTGCAGCGGCGAGGTGAGCGCTGGCTGCCCTCCGCGGAGCCCGCCCTCCACCCTCCGGGACTCCGCGCGGGGAGGGGGCTGAGTCCTCCGGGGCGGGGTCCCCAGGCCCGCGGAGGGGACAGAGAGGCGCCGAGGGACCGGGGACCGAGGGCACAGCGTGGGGGGCGGGGCATCGAATCTGGCAGCCCTGGAGCCTTCCCTGGTGTGGGTCACTTCTCGAAGGCCGGTCCTGTGCTGTTGTTTCCACTCATTCTGCACCTCCCAGCTTGGTGCCTTGGGCGTATTTGCTTCCTGGAGGCCTGACAGCTCAGCGTGGTGGCCTTAGGGTTACTTCCAGGTGCTCTTAGGGCAACTTGAACTCGTGGTGATGTATTAGTCATGAAATAAGACATTTTCACTTTTTGGTTTCAAATTATTCATCGTAATCCTGGTTTCTCAAATGGATATCACTATATCACTGGGCCTGGACTTATTTCAGCCAAGAGGCTGTCTTAATTATCTCTGTGTGCCTAGTCTGGGACACTGGCAGGTAGTATGAACTCCATAAAACTGTGTTAAATTAATGAATAAATGTACTCGGTTGCCCATCCACTTAGGCAAAGAGAAACAGAAAGGTAAATAGGGCCTTAAAAATGACTTTATCAATTATTCTTTACTATTTTGCTCAATGCTTTAAAGTAAATTCTTATTGACTTGAATGGATTTAGAAGTTATGAATACACAAGTAACAATTTAGAATTTGTGAATGCAGTCTGAGGGAAAAAGTGTTTGCTAAAAAAAGCCCCCAACACTTGAATGGTATTAGAGAGTTTTAATTTCTTAGAAAAGGTCAACAAATGGCATAGTAGAAAGACTGAAGTTTTGGGATAAATAAAGTAATGCCATTAAATTACTGAATAAACATTATTCCTAGTTTCTTTTGGCCTAAACCCTGCCTTTGCTTCCTTCCTCTCCCCTCTCCCAACATTTCCATCCACTTCAGGAATTATACCTATTTAATAAGCAGCTGCTGCAGCTGCTGCTAAGTCGCTTCAGTCGTGTCCGATTCTGTACGACCCCGTAGACGGCAGCCCACCAGGCTCCCCTGTCCCTGGGATTCTCCAGGCAAGAACACTGGAGTGGGTTGCCATTGCCTTCACCAATGCATGAAAGTGAAAAGTGAAAGTGAAGTCACTCAAGTGAAAAGTGAAAGTGAAGTCGCTCAATCGGACTCTTAGCAACCCTATGGACTGTAGCCCACCAGGCTCCTCCATCCATGGGATTTTTCCAGGCAAGAGTACTGGAATGGGGTGCCATTGCCTTCTCTGTAATAAGCAGCTACTTCTAGACAATTATCTTACCAAACACCATCTATATTATGCTACTTTATTTCACAACTACCTTAAAAATGAGCATAACCACTTTATGTACACTATTCGTTGTTGTTCAGTCACTCAGTTATGCCTGACTCTTTGCGACCCCATGGATCAATACTGGTACATAATGAACAGCTTAAGTAATTACCTCATAGTTATTTGCTAAGTTGTAAAGTGTTCCCCAAATACAGAACAGTCATCATGCTCTTTACTACATGTGTATAGCATCTAACAGAAGAAAAGCCTCCATTAAAGCCAGTTATGACCAGAAGCAGCAGTACAAGTCTGTTTCTACCTATTTTCAATGCTAGTGGGATGAAATGATATATTCAAGGGGCTGAAAAATCACTGATTAATCCCTAGTTTGACCCCAGTGTTATCTATACATGTTCATATAACTTTTAGCTTACTCTACAGTCTTGTCTTCTTCTTCATCCTAATGTCACTGAGTACTTATATTGAGGGCAGGAGGAGAAAGGGGCAACAGAGGATGAAATGGTTGGATGGCATCACTGACTCAATGGACATGAGTTTGAGCAAATTCTGGAAGGTAGGGAAGGATTAACTGAAGCCTGGTGTGCTGCAGTCCATGGGGTCACAGAGTTTTACATGACTTAGCGACTGAACAGCAACTTATATTTTTGTTATTTCAGTTATTTTTCATAAAAATTATTCTAACATTTTTCTCTTGAATTTGTACCCGCTACCTTTACCCCCAATCTGTTTAAGATGAACAGATTTTATAAGTCCACATAGCTGATTATGACTTCAGTCAGAGCCCAGGAAGAAGAGCCTGATCAAGAGTTAAGACCAAACTAAAAGCATACTTCCTTCCAGATGATGGCTCATGAGTGACATGTAATTGGGGTAATGAGACTGCCTGCTGACCTCAGCAAGTCACAGTTAAATGTTTATATAACATTCTCATTTACTAAGGCCAACTGCTGCAAGAATCTCAGAATATTTTCTATAGAGAATATGTGTGATAATGTCTGATTTCAGAACAAGACAGTTATTCTTAATAGCAGGGGAATGGAGTAGGATAGGGAGCCAGCAGTTAGACTCACTTGAATATTAAAAGAAAAATAGGGAAAAAAGAGGAAACAAGAGAACATAACATGTTATCAAATAACTAAACCACATGTGAAATATTTACTATGGTTTCAGGCTAAGAGAATGAGGGAGATTCAGTTCAATGCCTAGAGAAATAAAGGATAAGGTGTGTTAAAGAATTTGGGAGGTATGTTGCATTTGATGATGAGTAGCAATCTGAGAAGATAAAGGAATTGAGACATAGTCAAACATTTTATCATTGTTACTTGTTTTTAAAGTCCCCTTTCCTTTACTTCAAAAATTACAAACTTTTAAAATAACATTCTTAAAAAAAAATTCTTTTTTTTGTTTGTTTCTGTTACTAGATTGCAAGTTCTGTGAAGCCAGGGGCCATTTTCTTATATATTATTGGATTCCCTGTGCTTGTCAAATTTATGTTTGTTGATTTAATTAATAAATGAATCAAGGAATGAATAAAATATAGGTGGCATATATGATGTGGACATGGAAGTTTATGTATCATTTAAAATTATATATGTAGGTAATTTTATTTATTTATTATTATTATTTTTGGCTGCACTGGGTCTTCATTGCAGCGCTTAGGCTGCAAGCAAGATTTTAGTTGTCCTACCATGGATGGAACCTGTGACCCCTGTATTTGGGAGTGTTGAGTCATCCACTGGACCACCAGGAAAGTCCCTGAAAGTTTATGTATCTTAATGTAATTTTTGTGTGTGTCCTACTTTACTGGACATATAAATGTCTATACTTTCTTAATTCTCAGTCCATGTTGCTGTTCCTGAGGCCATGACTAATGTTGATCATCTCAGCCAGCAGGTGGGAGTCAAAGCTGCTGGATTTTCTCTACTGTGGGGAGCACAGGGACTAACAGAAAATGGTATCACTGTCCCAACACAAGTCACCAGCGCTGATCCTGATGGTCACCTTTAATAGGTGGGGGAGAAAATAAGTCCAGGTGTTTTTTCTTTTTTTAAATTTTTAAAAATTTCACAAATAGTGGTATAATATAGCAACTTATAATTTTAAAATGCTCCATTATCAATTAGTATTGACAGAATAACTCTCATAGAGTGATTGCCATGATCTCTTGAGACTGAAAAGGAAATTGACCAATGTGTTTATGCAAGCTAATGAAGTGGTCCAGTATGGATCTAAATCCAAGGCTTGGAATCCAAGGATCTTTCCACTCTGGTACCAAGGAAGGACTCCCACCCATGGGAGATGTGCTGTGTGGTCTCATGTCTCACTGTGTCTTTTCCTGTCTGTTTCTCCCTCAGTGGAACCTACAGTGACCATCTCGTTGTCCAGGACCGAGGCTCTAAACCACCACAACCTACTGGTCTGCTCGGTGACAGATTTCTATCCAGGCAAGATCAAGGTTCGGTGGTTCCGGAATGACCAGGAGGAGACAGCCAGGGTTGTGGCCACCCCTCTTATTAGGAACGGGGACTGGACCTTCGAGATCCTCGTGATGCTGGAGATGACCCCCCAGCGAGGAGATGTCTACAACTGCCATGTGGAGCACCCCAGCCTCCAGAGCCCCATCTCGGTGGAGTGGCGTAAGGGGCACTTGGTTTCCTTTCACTGTGGGCCCTACAGGACAGAGCAGACAGAGCTTCCCCGCTCCATGCCCTCTCATCCCTTGTGCCCAGCCTTACTACTGAACGGGAAATCACAGGACACAAGAGTGCTCATGCCTCCTAGCACAGGCATCAGAAGAGCCAAATCACAATGTCTTTTCACATACAGGGAGCTTACTCTACACATCATGGCCCCAGAGCCCAGCCTGGTAGCTCTGTAGAATTGACTGGTGATCATAGTCTTAAGGTCTAAAGTTATAGAAGTGTCCCTGAGAGCAGGGATCCACTTTCACTTTCTCTCACCTGCCTACTGTGTCCAAAGATCTGTTGGTGAGTCCCTCCCCTGGGAGTGGTCAGAATGGAGAGCCAAGTTCCCCTGACATCTCCACCTCCTATACCTCAGACTAGACCTCAAGCTTCCTAAAAGGACACGGTGAGATGTGGGGACAAACGCTGACACTCAGGCTCTGCTCCCCAGGGGCACAGTCTGAATCTGCCCGGAGCAAGATGCTGAGTGGTGTTGGGGGCTTCGTGCTGGGGCTGATCTTCCTCGGGCTTGGCCTCATTGTCCGTCACAAGAGCCAGAAGGGTAAGGAACTCTCGGGAAATGGGAAGATGGGCTGTGACTGAGACCCTCTGTTCAGGGCAGCCTCTGCATCTAGATGTAGCTCTTTCCTCCTGACCCTGAAAGGAGGAGGTGAGGCTGGGGGTGGAAGGTAATGAACAACCTAGGGAGACATTGGAGTCTGACTTTACTGGTTGAAAGTGTAGCCCTGCCATGGAGATGACAGGTGGAATTTATTCTAAGACTTCCTTGAAGTTCATCATCGTCTCATGGGCTCCTTTCTGGAAACCTCCTCCATTAAGAGGGTCAGAGCACTGGTTTCCTTTCCTTCTAGTGACAGCTTCATTCATTTGGGGGAATCTTGGCTTAGGGCAGTTAAGGCCTGTGGTCAATGGATAGGAAAGAAATACATTTCCCTTTAAGTTGCTTATCTCATTTCCCTTTGGGGTGAGTAAGGCAGTGGCTGTTTGTGTCATGAGATCTTTTGTAGGACACTGTGGGCCCCTACCAGCAGGTGCTCTATTTCTGTTCTGTGTCAGTGGGGATTGTGGGGACAGGTAAAGGAGGGAAGGGTGTGAGGTGAGTGTGCCTGGGTGCAGGGTCTCTTTCATGACCTGTTCCCTGCTATAGAATCAACAGTTAGGGAAGAAGTTTCTGCAGGAAGTTTTGTAGAAAGCTCCTGAAGTTGTTCCCCAGAACCAGGCCATAACTTTGATGGCATCTTTCTGTGAAACGTGGAGCCAGAGCTCTGGTTTGAAAGATAGACACCAGGATGCTGCCCACTTTGTGTCACATGTTAGTGGCTACTGCCTGTGGGCATTTATAAGTGATTGAATGTGGTGGAAAGAAGGTGAGCTATCATTAAATCTACTAAAAATCGAAATCTTCATATCCCCCAGAAGGACAACAGCTGCTCCCCGGCTTCCCGTGCCTCCTTGTCAGGTTGAAGTGTGGGTCCTGTGTGCTGATCACTCTCTCTCTTCTACAGGGCTCATGCGCTGACTCCTGAGGATATTTTGGGATCTGTGTTTGCTCTTCTATAATGGGTGTCTGTCCTTGCCTGGAATTCCCAGATGCCTGTCAGCCTGTCCCACTCTGAGATCAGAGTCAATCACCAGGTCATTTCCTGTGGCCATCCCCCAACCAAGGATCTGGCTGTGATGCTGCTTCCTCCACTGACCCTGGAGCCTCTGCCTGTGCTTTGTCAGCTGGATCTACTGAGACCCCAAGAGCTTCCTCTGCTCCCATTTTTACCCAACAAAGTGTGCAAAAGAAGCACATAGAAATCATTTACCAGGCTGTACAGTGTTTTTTAAATCATAATTAAAGATGATTATGAGTTAATCTGTACTCTGAACCTCCTTAAATGAGTAGAGGTAGGAACCACTGCAGAATGAAGGAAACTCTTTTGAGGTGAACCAGCAAACTGAGGACCAGAAGGAGACTAGAAGCACCATTGCGTGCCATGTAGCGGTGGGTGGACAGAAGAGAAAGAGAATCAACTTTTCTCTCTCTACACTTTGTCATTCTGTATCTGCATCTCTCTATTTTCTGCATCTTTCTTTCTTACCACCTCACATCATATCTCTGTTTCTCTGTTTGTGTGTATGACCCTATCTCTGTTGTATGTTTCTGGATTGTCTTCCAGAAAGGAAAGATTTTTTTTTTCTTTCCTTAGGAAAGATTCTGTCTGGCCCAGCCTCAGTAACATGCACACCTTTCAGAAACATCATCCTGTACATGGCATGCAGACTCCTGGCATTGAGCCCATTCCCCTGATTAGGAAATGACTTCCCAACATGGAGATGTTTGTATCTGAAATGGACTATTCCAGTCTACAGAGCCTCCTTAGTGTGAAGTGGCTTAAGGGGGAATTTGTTTCTTGTAGACCCCAAAAGACAAATAGCAGAGTTCCCTCCGGCTCTAGGGTCTCTCATTGGAGGTAATGACTCACATTCATCCCAACCCACATGTCCTGCACAGTGATCAGATGGCACTGCTGAGGTGAAATTCTCAGAAGATAGAGCTCCCCTGTCAATTCCTGATGATACTTTCTTCTCAGGTCACTGTACCTGGTGGCTCCGAAGACGTTGATCCAGCCCTAAAAGCTATTCTTCATCTCAGCCTCTGGGATTAATTACTAAGATGGGTGGCTGGTGCTTATCTTTGAGGTTATGGACAGCTGTGCCTCTGAGGACCAGACTTCCCCTTTTCCCTGATCCCTCATCCACTCACTGTACCTGAGGAGGCAATGACAGATCATTCCCTCTCCTGGAAAGTCCAGGTTTTCTTGAGATCTTTATCTATTGTACCCCAGGATGCACTCCAGGTCATCAGCCGGGGACACGGTGGAGTGTGGAGACTCCAGATTCTGCTTCCTAAGGAGATCATATTCTGAATCTGCCCAGAGCAAGATGCTGAGTGGAGTCAGAGGTTTTGTGCTGACTTTGCCATCTTCCTTAGGGTGGATGTTACCATTCACAATAGGAGTAAAGAGAGAGTGATATCATGGGGAAATTGGGAGGGCTTGTGTGGGGTGTCCAGGGAGACTTGGGCTCAGTATGTAGCTCTTAGATTTTGATCCTGCAAAGGCAAGAGGCAGGACTGGAGACTGAACCAGATTCACAGTTTAGGGAGACACTGAGATCTGACTTTTCTAGTTGAAACATAAGACCTATTACAGGAGTGAAAAGATGAGTGCATTCTGTGACATTCTTACAGTTCAACTTTGTCACACAAGCCCCATGCAGGAAAATTCCTTCTTCGTGAGAAGTCAATATCTTCTTTAGTTCCTGCCTGTGATAGTTTCATAGAAATAAATTTTTTTTTTTTGCTTCCAGATTTCATTAGGAAATGTAATCCTTTATTGATCATTTAATTTAAAATAACAAGTACGTTTTTGGGGAGGTGAAGTAGAAAAGAATAGTTTTATTGGTTTGCCAGGCAAAGGGGCCACAGCAGGCTCCTGCTTTTGAAACAAGTACATGTTTTATTTATTTATTTTTTTAAAGCTTTTTTTTTTCGTTTATTTTTATTAGTTGGAGGCTAATTACTTCACAACATTGCAGTGGGTTTTGTCATACATTGACATGAATCAGCCATGGAGTTACATGTATTCCCCATCCTGATCCCCCCTCCCACCTCCCTCTCCACCCGATTCCTCTGGGTCTTCCCAGTGCGCCAGGCCCAAGCACTTGAAACAAGTACATGTTTTATAAACAAGTTTGCTGGCCAAAAAAACTCAAGTCTTAGTAAACATGTAGCTTGGAGAAAAGTGCATGTACTAGAGAACATCCTGTTTGTCATGAGCGTTTGGCCTTATCATCAATTATATCAGTCAGTTTGTTTTTCAGGGACAGTGGTGTTCAACAATATTCCATAAGCTTCTTTACATTTCCCAGCTTCCTCTGCAATTAGGTTGGAGTCATGTGACTGGCACCAGCCAATGAAATTTAAAAGTGGGTGCAAGTTCTGCCCACTCTCCCTGTTATTGCAAGCCTGGAAGCAAGGTGATGGTATACAAGATGTTGGAAACTCTATAACCTGAATCCCTTGAATGACTGCAGAATGAAGTCGCTTTTAGTGAGCCAAGCCATCGAGATTAAATTTTTACTGCAGTTTAAGATCTTACTGTAACATAACTTTGCTTTTCTATAATGGAATGCTTAACTGAAGAATAAAGTTCATAAGTTAGAAGATGAGCCACTTGAGTTAATGGTAGTTAAGAGATGATGAATTTTTAGAAACATTTGTTTGTTTGTTTTCTTCTACCTGACAGTATAAGTATTCCCAGTGACTAGAACAGTGCTTCTGTAGGGCATGTTGTTGAGAGGGTAACAGGCAGGAAGACCAGGGGTCTCCAAATGGAGGAAATAGGCTGCAAGTGTCTCTTGAAATTGTGTTGCCATGACGACACCTGGTTCCACCAGACCTTAGCTTTTCCTCAAACATTGGGCTGATAATAACTCAACAAACCAGTATTCATATCAATTGTTTTTATAGCTGGGGGATGATATACCTCGTGCCATCCTATTTCAAAAATGCATATTGTGGGAGAGGGGCCTGGTGAAACTCTGTCAACCTTGAGGTGTCTCTCTTATCTGATTAACAGATACAAAACATCTAACAGACATAAAACATCTGGCTAAAGACTAGCAGGGGGGCACTCTCCATCCCCCTTCTGATGTCTATGTCAGAAGCTTTCTCTATCCGTTATACTTTAATAAAACTCTGCTATGCAAAATCTCTTGAGTGATCAAGCCTGGCCCCTGTTACCGAAGCTAAATCTTCTTCAGAGATCACGAATCCGACACCGTTCCCTGTAAGCTAGCACTGTCCTGATCCACCTAGTCTCTACCTTTTGGGAATGAAGGGTTTATTCCCTCAGTTGTTGGGAATGTTCCTGACTGATACCTCTCAGCTGTTTGTCCTCCTTTGGGATTACTTTAGGGGAGGAGAGTTGTCTCCTCTTGTTTTATTCTACTTCCCAAGGGAATTCACCTCCAATGGCAGCTCATTGCAGAGTTATAAAGACCTGAGTCTTGCCTTAACTTACGTCAACTCTGAAGGACTCTCATAGCTTTGGAACCCCCTGGGGTTAAGCTGAGGACATTTTCTTGACTGCATAATAGCCCAACTTCTAAAATCAAGAGTCATCTTATGTAATACTTTTTTTAGTTTCTATTATAATTTAAATATATTTATTTTTGTATCTTCTTCCCTTCAATATGACCAGTGGTTTTTATCACTTTTCTTAGAAGGTGAAGGTATTGGTGTCAGTATGGTTTCCTTAACCTCTTCTTTATGTTTCCACTTGCCAAATTGTGGTGTCAGGTCTTTTAAAAAATATATTGTCAAAGCTGACAATATTGGCATTCTTCTGTAATAGTAATTGTCTTTGGTCTTTGCTCATAGCTTAATTTTAAAAGTTGGATGAGGGGAAGTTCTTTATCACTTTTAAAACAACTTTATGTAATCATCTTAGGCTTGCCTTGGAGCTGCAGTAGTATGATTTCTTTTCAGTGATGTCCTGGGTTGAATCCACTGTTTCTTGGATTCCTTGCTTTCCTATTTTCTGAATAACAACCTCACTTTTCTAAGTCATATTCTTAGTCAACAAGTCATGATCTTAATCAACAATCAGTAAAACTATGTGTGGTAGGCAAATTTATAACCTTTCATTTCTATTCTATTACTATTTTTATTCTTTCTTCATGCCTGATCATGATTTTGAAAAGGTACACATTTGTTAATAGAAAACATTTCCTTTAGAACTTGCAGACCTTTTTAATTATCTTAATTATAGTTAATTATATAATTATAGCAGTATAGTATAATTAATTATAGTAGTATCTGGCAATCTGATTTTTGTCTGTGGTAAGCTTGTTTTATTTTTTCCACCATCAGGATGCTTTATGGTCTTCTTTTAAGCCTTGAGGTCCTGAAAATTTTTAAATGATGTATTTAGGAATGAGTCTTTTCTCACTAATTTTGCTAAATATATGACAGTCCCCTTCCATGTAAAGAGTTAGGCTCTTCATATCTGGAAAATTTCCCATTACTAAATTTGTTTTGGTAATATTGTATCTTAATTTTTTGTTGTTCTCTCTAGCTCTGTTACTTGATGTAACAATAGACTTTCCTGAATGTATTCTCTCTGTCTTATCTTTTCTTCCATACATTTCTTTGTCTTCTTATTTTTTTAATTTCAGAGAGGTTTTCTTGGTTAATTTTCCAAGCTTTATGTTAAATTTTTCATTTTTAGCCCCCATTATTACTTTTATATTGGTAAAGAACCCACTTGCCAATGCAGGAGACGTAACAGACATGGGTTTGATCCCTGTGTCGGGAAGATCCCCTGAAGTAGGAAATGGCAACCGACTCCAGTATTCTTGCCTGGAGAATTTCATGAACAGAGGAGCCTGGTGGACTACAGTCAGTGGGTTCACAAACAGTCAGATATGACTGAGTACACACAAGCAAGCAAGCATTACTTTTATTAGATGTGATACCTTTTTTCCTTCTGATAATTCTAATTAGAAAGGTTTTAAAGTTTGTTTAAAGACTTTTGTTTGCTCTTTTTTTTTTCAGTTTATTTGCTCTTACATTGAACTTTCTTTACTATGTGATGATTTTTATTCTCATCTTTTATTTCATGTTGTAAGATTTTCTTAAACATTTGCTCTGCCCTCCTTAAATTTGTTCTTTACTTACTATGCACCATCTTATTTCATCTCAAGATACATTTCTTCAAGTCTCTTCTAAACTCTACCAAATTTTACATGATGTCTGCAATACTCTTTTGTGTTGCCTTTTATTTTTCATTAAATTTTTCAGAGCTTCTGATTATATCTTTGTGGAATTATTTCATGTGTGTATATTTCCTCCCCTGGAGTGTAAATTCTTTGAAGACAATGAATATATCTCTTTTCACATTATTTTAATATACTGAGAACATAGAATGGTAGGTATGATAACATTGGTACTCAATAACCATTTTTGCATTACTAATTAAATTAATCATCAGGTTACTAAAGTTTGGGGATTAATCCAGTCAATAATAAAGGGAAAACTACTCTGTTTACTATTATTTTTTGTTGAATATATAAAAAATATTTATATTTATATATTTTATATAAATATAGTATATATTAGTATATTTATAATATATATTTATAAAATATAAAATATATTTATATATTATATATATTTAATATATTAATAAGTATTTGTATTTATAAAATATAAAATACATTTATATGTTTAATATATATACATATCTTTAGGGTTA